ACCCAGGGCCGGGACAGAGTGATCCCAATTTTCCTGCTAAGAAACCGTCAAAAGTGGAAAATCGTTTCTGAGGGGGGGGGGGGGGCTTAAACTTTTACTCATAGTTCTCAATATCCTCCTCGAATTATATGCATACATTGATTATTATTATAAATTTCTATATATTTTAGTGGTCATCGTTGGGAAATCTTTCTTGAAAATTCATTTCCACGTTTAAAACAACTTCAACTTTGTTTTGATATGCCAATTGATGATATTCAATTACGTATAAATCCAATTCTAGCATCATTTTCATCTTTTCATATTCGTTGGCCAATTGGACATATGATATGGCGTCCACATTCAAATAAAACACGTTTTAAATTATTTACATTACCCTATGCATTTGATACATTAAAATTATCAACATCAAACTCACGTTTATTTAATAATATAATGTATGAAAAAAGTTTTAAATCCGTTAGAAAAATAGTTCTTGATGCAACACAAGGAACAATAAATGATATTAGTCAACAATTAATTAATTTATTAAAACAATATTGTACTAAAACAAATACTTTACAAATACAAAATATTGTTTTACCAATAAATGATTCATTAAATATATCTACAAAATCAATAAATATTAAATTTCATTATTTAAAACATCTTATTGTTAATGAATGTGATGGTCGTTTATTTCCAATAATATTTTCCTTAGCACCATGTCTAACAATATTATCAGTAACAGGTCCATTATTATTAAAATATTTTCTTAAAATTCCTCCACCAAATACATCTTATTTAATACATATAAAAACACTTGAATTAAATTGTATGCAAATGGATCGACAAAATCGATTAAATCGTTTATTAAATAATTTACCAACATTATTTCCATATTTAGAACATGTAACTGTTGATATTAATCCTAAATTATATGTTGATTTAAGAATAATTAAAACAATCTTAGATATATTTATTAAATTAATTAGTTTAAAAATTCAACGAACAAGTAAATATATTTTAGATAAATATACACAAGATGATAGACAAGTACGAAATTATTTTGAAATTCATTCATATCGTTTAAATCATAGTGAAACATATGAAATTATATGTAAAGATAGTCAATTGGAAATTTGGTTATAGAAACAGATCTGTTTGCTTTTTCTTGTGTTTTATTATTATTATTATTATTATTATTATTTTTACCGTTCAGATTATTCCTTGTTTTGTTTTTTTTGTTTGACCTTGTAACTATATTCTAGAAACTGTGTACATTTGTGTTTTATAAACGTTAACAAGAGAAGAAAAAAAAAAAGATTTTTATCGATAAACGAAAAAAAAATAAAGAAACTTTTAAACAATATCCATTACTAAACGAGATGCATTAGAAATATTGTCGATAACTTCAATGATTGATGGTCGTCGATCAGGTTCTGTTTGAAGCATTGCAAGCATTAAATCAATTACGTTGGATGGATATGTTGTAGATTGAACCGGTAATTCAATACGACCACTTGCAGCTGCTAGAGCTACACTAAAATAAAATATTATAATTTTAATATAGATTTCGTATGAGAGTAAAGAAATTTTTAGCCTTATAAATATCGAAATTAGTATTCAAAAAGTTCCATATGATTGATATTAATTTGATAAGCAGACTTTCTTGTATTTAAACAATATTTGCTATACTCATCGAAAATTTATAAGCTCAGGTTATTCACTAGTGAACATAATAATTAGTCGCGATGTACCGAGACCATCAAAATTAAGTAGATTGTCAATGATTCAAGAAGTCGATTCGAAAAAAAAGATATTCGAAATTTTCTCTTATGTATAAAAACAAATTTTGTTCATATTAGAAAAGGTAAAACTTGCACAATCAACTAATCACAATGAGAACTTTGCTCATACAACGTTTGAAGTTGAAAGTTAATTTTCCAAATGATGACAGCTTTTTATTGAAAAAAAAAGAGCAGTAAAATTTCGATATCTTGAAAATCAAGGTTCGGAAAATTAAATCATTCATTCTAGATGTTTCTATTACTCATCAAATGAACATTGTCTCAATCGAATACCGATTTGACATGTCAAGAGGTTTCCTCAGAAATATAAATGAATATTTTCTTAATTTCTAATAGAAATCTATTGTACCGTTAAATTAAATTTATACCTATCTCCTCTTGAATATACATCATCGAATGGACCTTTACCAAAACAACATGCATAAAGAATTCCACCAAGCGAGAAAATATCAGTTTTTTCAGTAATTAAAGAATTTGTTTCTATATGAAATAATTCCGGTGCACGATCTATAGAAATATGAAAATGAAAAAAAAAAAAAGAAGAAGAGACAAAAAGAAACAAAATCAATTACATTGTACACAACAATTTTCTTCTGCCCAATCCTAAAAATAGAACATATATATATATATATGAATAATAAATAATTCATATGAATATATTACCTGCCATTGTTGTGCTTCAGATCTAGTAGTCATTAAAATTGATGCCGGTGTCATTGAACCAAAATCTAATATAACAGTATGCGAATGATTTAACAACATAATATTACTTGGTTTCAAATCTCTATAAATAAAAAATAACTACTAATAGTAATGAATAAACAAAAAAAAAGAAAGTAATTACCTATGAGCCATTCCTTTTTCATGAATTTGACGAACTCCTTCGCATACATTCAAAAATAAATCAAGTAATACACGAGTAGTAAATTTTGTTTGCTTATCAAAAGCATCTTGAAGAGAACCATTCTATAAAAAAAAAGTGATAGTTTTTATGACGATTAGAAGTATTAAAATAATAATTTGCCTTGAAATAAGGAAAAACAAGCCATACAATACTTGTAACATGTGAATTCGGATTATATTGCATTTGTTCATGATAGAGTAATGAAACTAAAAAGAAATAATTATGATTTGAAAAAAAAAATATTCGTTAATCAAACCTAAACTAGGATGTGAAAATCTTTGATAATTTTCTACTTCATCTTGTGCACGTTTTTCTTCTTCGTTTGTATGACATGACATTTTCTTAATAGCATATAGATGATTATCGGCTGTATCACGAGCTTCAAATACATAACTGAAACTTCTAAAAACCAAATTTAATAGTCAAACTATTGTGTTCTATACAAAAAACGTATGTCAAAATATTTCAAATCATTACAAAAAAAATTCCCACTTAAAAAGCAATATTATAAATATAAATATAAAACAATGTACCCTTCGCCAATTTGTCGTATGAGATGAAATTTTTGTCCTTGTATAACCACACTTTGTCGTCCACATAAACAACCCATCTATAGATACTCAAATAGAAAACAACAACAATTCTATATTCTATTCCACAAAACATGACATGAAATTTTTTTTTATTGTTTGTTTCTCGGATGGCATAATCGAATAACACAGACTTAAGAAAAAAACAAATACTTAATCTCTTAATAATAGCACAAAACAATCATACACATATAGATATACAATGAAAACAAACTTGGAAATGATGTTAAAAGAACAAAGAAAAAAAAAAACAAAATTCACACAACAAAGATTCATTCTCCACCATGTTTCTTTGGACTTGGAATGCACACACATACAAGAAAGTTATATGAAGATTCTCTCGTTTTATTGTTTGTTTTGACTAGTAAAACATGTACTATATATATATATGTACACATAGAACAGAAATCATCTGCTAAATAAAAGTAAAAATTGATGTAAGTACGGAAAGAAAAAAAAAATCATTATAAAGATGTAAAGATTAAGATCGACTGACTGACTGACAAAGATAATCAATTAGTTTATTCTTCAAGATCATCATCCTCATCCTCATCATCATCATTTGACTCATTGTCATCATCAATAGTATCTTGATGATCATTATTTGTACTACTGTTCGATGGAGGAAGACAAGTAGCAAGTCCTTTCGACGATTTATCATCATCTTCATCATTGTTTTCACCTAAATAAATCAAAAAAAGAAAAATTATTTTTTTTTTTAAATTTTCTATTGTCATCCAAGATTAATGTTCAAAATAAGCATGACTCTATCGAATATATTACTGCTATTCTTTATGATATATTGAGTGGATATTTTGAGACAGAGATAGGATTGGCAGCAGTGTGTCTTATTAATTTTTTTGCTCTAAGTATATCATAAAAGATGTGTCAGGAAACTTTGTTGAACATGGAATATATCAAACAGAAGGAATAATACGAAGATTTGTTAGTCCAGTTTCGGTATGGATTTTAAACTGATCGGTTCAATCTCTGATTTTGAATGAGTGCAAGCAACAATAAACTCTGATTGACAAGCACTTATATACATTCTATCGGTTTACATGTACTGAAGTGATGATTCAAACATAGTCTTCTTCTTATGATCACTTTATTTCAATCTTATTGATACAAATACGTTTTCTCGATTCTTTATTCGAAAACATTATGTTGTAGCTATTTTTAATTCAAATTTTATTAGAAATCTGAAATATTGTCTTATTACTCTGAATGTATGTTGAAGAACAAAATGCTTGTTTTTAGTAAAATGAAGTTTTTCCATGATGACTTCGACTAAGTTTTCGTATAAAATTCTCGTGATGAAATGAGTTTTGTTCTGAAAGTTTCACAGTCGTAGTATTGAATGAAGTCAATTTAACGCTACAATATCGCTTCACTATCTCAGAACATATTAATTATTACGATCATGACTATGTGTCACACGCTTTGGTGATAATTAAGTAGACAAATGCCTTTAGCGCTAGTAAAAATAACAGCCTGTGGAATAATAAACAAAACCTGTTGAATGCATATTTTTCATAAGATGAAAAAAAAAAGATGTATGAACCGATGAAGAATGAGTTTTGATGCCTGTAATTGAGATTTATTATCGTTCACATGTACTCAAAATATCTGCTCAACGTCATAAAGAATAAATAGTACTTCATGAACGAACAGCTCCTTGTGTTCAGAACTATCACTATTCAATTTTTATGATCATTGTAAACTTTTACTATTTAAAAAACTAAAGTTTATAATACTAACCATGGTGTATATTATTATCATTGTCATTGATAGATATTGACGATGTAGATTCATTTTTATTTTTTGTTGTTGATGATACTTTAATATTTCGTTCTTTGACTTTATATTCCAACTTGAATAAAAAGAAGAAAAAAAACATTAATTAAAATTCATATGAAATATATTCAATAAATTTACTGTTGAATGTGGTACACCAAAAAATGAGCCAGCTTTATGTACGGACATTTCATTACTTAAAACAGCTGCTACAGCTTTAGCTAATTGTTCAGATTCATAACGACGATATTGACCACGTTTTGGACGGATTTGTTTACCATCGGTACCAATCACGATTTTATTATTATTATTATTATTATTATTATTATTATTATTACTGGTAGTAGTAGTAGTAGTATTGATTATTTCAGCTGATCGTCCTTTTGGTATATAATTTGTTGGTTGATTTGATTTAGTTTTAGTTTTTATATGAATAGATGATGAACGAGTTGATGATACACTTGATGTTGATGAAGAACTTGAAGATGAAGGATTTACTTTATTATTATGCTAGAAAAGAATTTTATACATATTATGATATTTGAATAGAAGTGAAGAAAAAAGAAATTTTTCTTTACATTTCATAACATGAAAATTCAAAATTCCGTTGCCTTGCGCGTTTGACTTCTGTCATATAATTGTTTAGACTTGACTAAAGTTTTTTTTCAAACGCAAAAAAATCATACTTGAGATCTGTTGCTCATTATAACATAAATGAAATTTATTCCTGAATCTTTATACACATATTGTTCAAACAACTAGTTCGTGAAATATACTCAAAGCATTCAACAGATTATAGAAATTAAGAAAAACTATTAAATTTACATAATACTTGATGAAACATGATCTAAAAGAAGTTTTGAAATATAACGATAAAAATGTTGACACTTCCTTTCCTTAGAAATCATGACAGTCGTAACCATGGGAACGTCACAGACACTTAAAATACATTCTCACTTTCACATAATACAGACTATGTTACTATATGATGAAAGACCATATATCAATAACATTTTGTTATAATAAAAAAACAAAAGTCTGCAAGAATTATGCTAAGAACTTTTCTTTGTTATCTTAACTATATGAAATAATTTGCTTTAAAAATATTCAATATACAAACCTTATGTTGTTTTTTAGTATTATAATTATTATTAAAATGATTAAAAATATTTGTATTAAATTGTTCAGATTCATAACGACGA